AACAATATTTTAAGTTTGTCAAATAGAAAAATTTAAAATTAGTTATGGTCATGATTTAACATAATCATAATGATTTAAAAATTAAAAAAAAAATAAAAAATTAACAAATTAAAATTAACTCAGTTTTATATCATGATTTAACAATTTAAAAATTAATTATGGTTATGACAAGTTTACGTTCACGTGTTAATCCTATTTATCTTCAATTTTTTCTTTTATTGTGTTTTTTTATATTTTGATTATTACGCGATATAAATATTGATTTTGAAGTTTATTCTCATTTCGTTTATTTGTTTTGACCTGAGATTTAGAAAATACTTAAGATTTAAAATAATTAAAAAGATACATACTTAAGTTAAGATCTGCACTTTATGCACAATAAATATTTTATATTTATAATTTATTTTATAATTTTCTGCATATCATAAAATAATAAAATAATAAGTATATATATTACATAACTAAGAAATTAGTCACTTTTTTGTCACAAAAGAAATTAGTCACTATTATGTAATAAATTGACGTATGCATATAAATTTAACTATCACTCTTGTTTATTCGCAATTAGCGTAAATAAATCAAAATAATCAATCTTATATATTGTATATGATATATAATTAAATTTAAATGATATAATCATAGTAATATGGCACACTTTTAATATTGATATTTATTAAATGAGGTTTCTACTCATATGATTTTATGATTATTTGCATATTTGTGTAACAAAACTTTACACCAGCGATTTTTTTTAATGTGAGATGTTTAGTAGTTTCAATAATTTATAATCATTTTAAAAAAATGACATATTTTAAAATTAAAATATTAACTTTTCAATATATGTTGAAGACAATCAAAATAGAAGTATGTATTTTCATACGATTTATAGTTTAATTAAAACGATATGAAATATATATATAAACTAAAATTATTTCTTCTTATGGTCTTATAATCATTATATATTAATATAGAAAACAAATTAAAACCTTGATCCTAAAAGTTTATGTGAGACTTTTAACAATTTTAGTAATTTATACTCATTTTGAAAAATTCGAAATACAGCATACGTAAAAAAAAATCTAGATTTTTATTATATGATTAATGTAACTGTGTAATTTATTTTAATAATAAATAAATAAACAAAATGAGAAAAAGTATACAGATTGTTATCAAATATTTATTGTTTAAAATCATTAATTGTCATATATATTTTAATCACATTAGGTAATTCCGTATGTTTTATTTAAAGAAAGCATGCGAAACAATAAATATTTGATATATGCGACCAACTATAGTCTACGAAATATTATATTGTTAGAGAATATAATTTTTACACTATACATTATATCACATGCTCTAGAATCCTTGGGATTTGAAATAGAAGCCAAATAGCTATCCTACATAAGATTGAGGTTATTTTTAATTCTTACAAACTTAAGGTTACAACTTTTTAAATGATTCTCAAATAATATATAGGGGATATAACTATAATTAGGTAAATTTTATTTAATTGTTGTAGAGATTTATATATGAATTCATCTGTGTTTATATATGAACAGCATGTGATCCTTACACCATGACCAAGAATACATCTATGTGTATATATTTATATCAATTCGGTGAGTACATACTACTGAGGGATATTTTTACATATAATTCAACAAACCAAAGAAACATGTTTCTTCTCAAAGACGGAACAATTTGAAGAACAGCACAGGTTTATATGTAGCAATAAATTGTCCGATTGCTATTCCAAACAATACTCCAGGGCCATAACCTATTGCTGCCGCTTTCCAGTTGAACACTTGTTCTTGCACCAGCGACTTAGACTGTTGTATCATTATTTTTGGTAGGATTGACTGTTGTGTTTGTGGTGCTGGTGGTACATTTTCCTGGAAGCATCTTTTTTCTAGAGGAAGGCCACAAAGATCGACATTCCCTTCAAATGAAGAACCATTCAGCCCTACAATCTGTGTACTCTGTGGTATTTGGCCGGTAAGTTTGTTGTGTGACATGTTAACATACTCCAAGAAATTGAGGCTTGCTAGCTCTTGTGGAATTTTCCCAGAGAGTTGGTTCCGAGATAGATCCAGTGACTCAAGGTTGGTGAGTTTCCCCAAAGATGATGGAATATAACCCTTGAATCTGTTGTTTGACAAGTCCAACACATGAAGGGACTTCAAGAGACCTATTGATTCAGGAATCTGTCCTTCAAGTCTGTTTCCAGAGAAATCAATGGCTCCGAAAAGCCTTAGGATTTTATCCAACTTTAGGTGTAGTCCTTTGTTAGTCACATACAAAGAAGGTTGAAATCCAAGCGAGTAAGAATCTCCCATGTACTGTGGTCGCCTTTGATGATCTTCAGGGACGTTGACCAATGATGCATTCCAGTTGAGAAAGTAATTTTGTGGCAGACTTCCGGTAAACTTGTTACGCGATATATCAATTATGCGCATCTTAGGAAACGAAAGATTACTTGGAGGGAAAGATATAGGACCATATAATCCGTTTGATCGTAAGATAATGACTTGCAGGTTCGGTAGAGACTTCAGCCAAAACGGGAAAGTGTCTGTGATTCTATTGCTCTCCACGTTCAGAATCTCTAGGCTTGTGCAATTCACAAGAGACATCGGAAGCTTTCCAATGATCAGATTGTGGCCAACATCAAGTGTCTTCAACGAGTTGCTTCTGTAGAACATGTCGGGAAGTCTTCTAAGTTTGTTGTCACGAAGATTCAACACTGTTAGTGATCCACTCAAGCAAGTTGGAACTGAACCACTGAAATTGTTGTTTGATAAATCGAGGACGGACAGGTTCTTTGGATTGCACAGTGAAAGAGGTATCTCTCCTGTGAAATGATTATTTGATGCAACCATGTATCTCATGGTTTCTGGAATTCTAGGAAAAGGTCCGCGAAAGGCGTTTGAAGTTAAATATAAGTAGACAAGTGATGAATTAAGGAACATTTCTTTTTGAGAACCTGGGAAACTATCAAAGGAGTTGTGAGAGAGACTCAAAGCGGTTAGAGAAGGTAGGTTCCATAACCACTTGGGCACTTTCCCTTCAAGGCGATTATTAGAAAGGTCTAAAAAAGAAAGCTTGGTAAGATTGTATAAAAGAGGAATACTACTGTTGAGGTCGTTAGATGAAAGGTCTAGGTAGGTTAGGCGGCTTAGATTACTGATTGAGGATGGAACTTTCCCGACTAAGTCATTATTAGAAAGATCCAAGGACTCTAAATTGGTGAGTGTCCCAAGTTCGGAAAGGAATGAAGACGAGTCAATGTTGTTGTAAGAGAGATCGAGATACCTGAGGTGGTGGAATTTGAAGAGGCTACTATTAACTCCGAGAGTGTCTCTGAGACATCCACCACGTAGGTCTAGTTTAGTCACAACACCAGTCTCGCTATCAAACACAACCCCATCAAAAGAGATAGCATCTCTGATCCAAGAGCTGGCCACCGAATTGTTGCACCTCTCAAACTCATCTTTGAAAGCCAGGAGGGTCTCAATTTCGTCGGGACGACGGAAAGGTTGAGAAACAATAGTTGTTATCAAGAAGCTTAAAGCAAAGACACAACCAAAAAAATAACAAATGTTGGAAAAAACAGGCAAACGTAGTATCATCATCGGAGAATAGGAAGAGATTGAATAAGAATCACTTAATATCAGAGGTGCTTCCTAATATTTTTAAAGCCATGGTAAAAGCCAATTCTCCAGCTTGACTTGGAAATTGCGAGTCTTCCCATACTGTGTCTGCCACACAATTCATCAGGACCCACTAAAGTTACCACCATATTGGAATGGTCTACTTTCTAATTTTCCATGAAAACGTGAACATTACGTTCATTTGCATATATCTTTGACCAGAGAAGCTCTCGACAGTCGACATAGCTTCTGTTTCGCGGAACGATTGTCTAAAACGACGTTAATTTTCTAGTGATGTCTAGGGGTGGGCGTTCGAGTACCCATTCAGGTTCGGTTCGGATCTATTTGGGTTCACAAATTTTAGTTCGGTTCGGGTTCGGTTCGGAGCTTTGCGGGTTCGGGTTCGGATAACCCATTTAAATTATTTTCCAAATTTAAAAATTGATTATATACTTTAAATTTCTAAAAATCTATAAACAAAATAAGATATTACAAATAATTGAATAATATAAGTCAAAATACCTAAAATTAACATATGAATTAATTTGATTTGAATATTTGGATTGTGAATCAATAATTTTTTAAAAATATTTATGATATTTTGAGTGTACTTTAAAAATTTCAGACATATATATTTGACTATTTACATATATTTACAAGTATTTTGAACAATTTCAAAGTATTTTATATATATAGAATGTTTTTATATACATTAATTCAAAAATAATTAATATATATAGGTATATAAATCTCTTTCGGATATATGCGGGTACCCGAAATGCTTCGGTTCAGGTCATGTTCGGTTTCGGTTCTTTAAATACCAAAATTTTGAACCCATTCGGATATTGAATAAATTTTGGTTCGGATTCGATACTATTTTTTCGGATCGGGTTCGGTTCTGTTATTCGGATCCGGTTTTTTTGCCCAGCCCTATCTAGTGATTTCTTGAAAATAGGTCTAAATAGTTACAATAGGAAGTTATAGCTAAAACTTGTGAACTTATAATAAGTAAGGGTTGTTCTGTAATTTATTTGCTCGGACGAGTAAATAACATTCAACTGTTTCTTGTCTAGGTCTAATTTTTGACGGAGAAGGAAAAGAGTCATAATCAAAGAAAGATATGTAGAGATCATGGGCTTAAAGACAATATATTGGGCTTGATTAGTTTGCTTTGGGCTGTGTGATCATTATACCACATCCCAAGGTTTAAATGGAATTCTCGATACTTGGATTCAATCACTCACTAGCGTGAAACACACCAAAGTTCTCACACTCATCCGCCATTTTGATTGATGGGATCCAACTGGAAAAGTCTTTGAGTTTCCGTCAAACTCATTCTCTCATCCAAGCCTCATGTCACTCTCGCTAAGGTCATACACTTTTAGAAACTCACATCCCTTTAGAAACTGCTCTAATCTTAGAACCCTCAAACTTTATTTAATCAACGCTACCAAGGTTGAAGTCTTTAATACGCTACTCTCATCTTGCCCTTCTCTGGAGGTGCTTGTACTGTACATCGCATGCACCTACTACAATATTGGGCTTCCTTTGAAGATTGAGAACAACAAACTGAAGATCTTGCAAGTGTTGTTGATTAACATTGGTGGCCTTAAAGTGTCATCAACTAGTCTAAATATCCTTTTCATCGATAGTATCTCTTTTAAGGACCGTTTTTTCCTCTGCGCCCCAGACTCCAATTTAGTAGAAAATTTTTCGCACCTCATATCATCTACAACATATCCAAGGTACATGTATTGTTTCGAATAATGAACTTTTTAATATATATAGAAAATGAATTATTAAGGTGTTTGATTTTGAGTTTGACATTGTTTTGATCAGGAGGAAAAAAGCATTGCGCATGAAGAGTTGGTTAACAACATATCTAGTGGGGATGGTCGGATTTATATGTGTGCATCAATGTCAGTTTGAGAGGCTACGACAACTCTTAGGTTTATGGATTCGTAATATGAGTATACTCAGATCACATTTAAGGTGTGCTTGCGAATGACTACTACTAAGTCCCTAATTTGCGTTATCAAAACCACGATTCATGTATGTTGTGCAGGATAACAACAATGCTTCTAATGAGTCTTGGGAGAAGAAGTTTTGGGAAGAGGTTAATAACAACAATGTTGCGTTCCCCAATGCTAAATTCCGCGTGAAAAATCTGAGGATGCCTAACTTCAGTGGTTTGGAGGAAGAGTTTGCCTTTGCGTCGTGTTTGATCAAGCATGGAACAGTCATAGATAAGATGATGATTAAGACGTCAAATCTTTTCAAAAATGAAAGGCATTGTTTGAGTTCCTCCTAATACACTCTTCGGTCTACGTTAGTCTGCATCTCAGCCGTCCATCTGATCCAGACCCGAAACCAACGAACTATAAAAAAAGTTCCAGTGTTCATATAAAATATTGTATTGAGTGATTAAGCTTTTTATAGACAAAGGTTTCAGTCTGCAAATGTATAAAGCAATTTGATCAGTCATTAAGCTCAAAAATAGAGCTCTGAACAAGTCATTCTTGCTACTTGTTTTGATTAATGAATAATATGATCATTAGCTTGATTATTTAAAGTAAACACAAACTAACAAAGAGCCTGCAGCAATCAAAAGTTGCTACAAACTTGTAGAAAGTGGAATACAGAAAAAAAGAACAAAATGAAAGAATATGAAGAACAAGAATAGCAGCAAGGGGTTACAGGAATTGAAGGTATATTGCATAGCTTTAGAAGCATGAGATGATTGCGTCTGCGTTATTGCTGATACAAAGCAACTCTTTTGAAGAGGAAAGCCACATAGATCTATATTCCCTTCAAATGAAGACTCATTTTGCGTTTGAAATTGTGTACCCTGTGGTATTTGGCCAGTGAGTTTGTTGTATGACATGTTAATATACGACAAAAACGAGAGCTTCCCTAACTCTTGTGGAATTGTACCAGAAAGTTGGTTTCTAGATATATCAAGTGACACAAGCTCTGTTAGGTTCCCCAAAGACAATGGAATATGACCTGTGAAACCGTTGTTGGACAAGTTGAGGGTAATCAGCGACTTCAAAAGACCAATGGATTCCGGAATCTCTCCTACAAATCTGTTGTCAGAGAAATCAACAAAAGAGTAATAATCTCCCATGATGTTTTTCTCTCGCGGTCTCATGGCTGCACTCCAATTCACAAAGTAGTTTTGTGGAAGGCTCCCTTCAAACATGTTACCAGCTATGTCAATGAGCATCAGTTTCGAAAATGGCAGAGGATACTGAGGAGAAGATATAGGACCATAGAATCTGTTTGTTCGTAGGATAAGAACTAACAGCGGTAAATCCTTCAACCAAAAAGGAAACGTGTCATTGATTTGATTTCCCTCTACATCAACAAACTCTAGGCTTTTGCAATGTCCAAGAGACCTTGGAAGCTTCCCACTTATTTGATTGTAGCCAACTTTAAGCACCTTCAGTGAGCTGTTGGAGAATGTGTCGGGAAGGCTTGTAAGTTTGTTGCGACCGAGATTCAACGCTGTGATAGATTTACTCAAGCATCTTGGAACAGAACCAGTTAAACTGTTGTACGAAAGATCAAGGACTAACAGGTTTCTTAAATTGCATAACGATAAAGGAATCTTTCCTGTGAAGTTGTTGTTTGATGCGGCCACGTATTTCAAGGTTGGTGGAAGGTTGGGGAAAGATCCTTGAAAGGCGTTTGAACTCATAGATAAGTAGACTAGTACTGAGGTGTTATGAAGGGGAGAGACTTGGAAACTATCAAAGGAGTTGTGTGAGAGATTAATTGCGGTCAAAGAAGGAAGATTCCATAACCATTCAGGAACTTTTCCTTGGAGGCTATTATTAGAAAGGTCTAGAAATTTAAGCTTGTTGTTGATTAAGGAAGGAAGCTCTCCGGTGAAGCGGTTTTTGTGAAGATCCAAGAACTCTAAGTCGGTGAGGAGGCCAAACTCTGATGGTAGTGAAGAGGAAATGTTGTTGAGAGAGAGATCCAGATGCTTGAGCTGGTGGAAGTTGAAGAGGCTGCTGTTAGCATCGAGAGTGCCGCTGAGACATGAACCACGAAGTTTTAGCTCCGTGACTCCACCGGTATGTTGATCAAACAAAACCCCATTGAAGGAGGTAGCGTCACGGGTCCAAGAGTTCGTCACTGATTTGTTGCATGACAGAGTAAACTCGTTTTTGAATGATAGAAGGCTCTCGACTTGTTCGGGACGATGGTAAGGTTGAGAAACAAGAGTAGTAACCAAGAAACTCAAAGCAAAGAAACAAGAGATGGAGCTAAGACGCACATGCAACGTCATAGTGGGAAAAAGAAGAGGAAATATGAGGATAAAATGCCTTTTTGTATATATGAATGGGCTTTGCTATCCATGTAATTTATAGCCATGGTACTGATCTTTTGAATACATCTTGACTTGGAACTTGTACAAGTCTTCCTTTATGTATCAGCCACATTTTTATTCCACATATTTCACTGGAAAAGTCTTCTTCTCCTTTTTGGGTTTATTTGGAAAAGTCTTTTTTTTTTCTCAAATCATAAAATTCAATTGGTTAGAAAAGTATAATATGATTATATAACTTAATAATATTATATTACGTCCATTTGCATATATGTCTGAACGGAGAAGCTCACGACAGATATCATGTACATGAAGACAATGTGCCACAGTCCGTGGTTGAAGTAGAGCTCATTTTCTAGGAAAATTTGTAGTAGAACTGAAAAAAGTGAGGTATTAGGCTATTAGCTATTAGCTATAGTTTCCTACTTTAGTTTTTAAAGTTATTTTCAGTGTTTCTACATAGTTACAACTGTAAGTTATAGCTGAAACATGTGAACTTATAATAAGTAAGGGTGTGCATAAAAAATAAAATATAATATAAAAACATTCTATCCGAAGAATTACCCTTTGAGAAATATTATTTTTAAATTATATTAAATAATTTATAAAATATCATTTTTAGTTTTGTTACATCTGTAAGAGTGTAAGAAGTTAAAATATATAAATTCTTGATGCAATTATAACTTGTACTAAATGAAATTTATAAACAAAAATATTTATTCCTGTAAATATACAAATCCAAAATATAAATCTTTTAAATATATTACTGTAACAATAGAAATGTCGTAGTACAGTGTTAAGTAAGTTTGTTTTATATATATGCGGGACTACGGTTCGTTTCCCAAGAAAATTATTTTTTTTAGAATTTTCTCTATTACAAAACGACATCGTTTAACCAAACATAACGGTTGACTAACGCGGTGTTAGTCAAGATAGATTTTCATACACGGATTAAAGTTTGGGTTGAAAAATTAAATAAATTCTTGGTTTAGATATGATTTTGCACTGATAATTTGTTTGAGTATAAAAAGGCGTGATAGAAAATGTTGGGGTCGAAAAATACCTTTATGTTGGGGTCGAAAAATACCTTTTTCCCGGTTAACGATGGTCTAAATAATTAAGTTGTTCGTTTATTATATTCTATAGATAACATTTGGAAGAAAAAATCGAATATCATAGAAAATGCTTAAAAGCATCAGGAAGAGATATATAAATCTGTAAATAATACTTTTGTAAAAGAGTTGATTTGATTTGAGAAACAAGACTTTTCCAATTAAGCCCAAAAGAAGACGTTTCCAGTATATAGGGCCCCGGTCTCTGTGGAATAAAAAAAAAGTGATACATGACTGAAGACTTCACAAGTTCCAAGTCAAGCAGCTGTATCAAAAGATCATAAACCATGTCTATAAATTACACGGCAGCAAAGCCATCTATATATATATAGGCGTTTTATCTCTTCTCTAGTTTGCTCATCTTATTTTTTTTACCGCTATGACGTTGCATGTGCGTCTCAGCTGCATCTCTTGCTTCTTTGGTTGTGTCTTTGCTTTGAGTTTCTTGGTTACTACTCTTGTTTCTCTTCCTTATCGTCGTCTTGACCAAGTTGAGAGCCTTCTGGATTTCAAAAATCAGTTTATTCTGTCCTGCAACAACTCAGTGACAGACTCTTGGACCCGTGACGCTATCTCCTTTGATGGGGTTTTGTTTGATGAAGATACTGGTGGGGTCACGGAGCTAAAACTTCGTGGAGCATGTCTCAGCGGATCTCTCGATGCTAATAGTAGCCTCTTCAGATTAAAGGAGATCAGGTATCTCGATCTCTCTCTCAACGACTTTTCCTCTTCAATACCCGCAGAGTTTGGGCGACTCACTGACTTAGAGTACTTGGATCTTCACCAAAATGGTTTTACTGGAGAGCTTCCTTCCTTAGTCAGTAACCTAACTTCCCTAGGCCTTGCAAACACCACTGTTTTGAACAAGCTTTATTTTCTAGACCTTTCAAACAATAGACTCCAAGGAAAAGTGCCTGAATGGTTATGGAATCTTCCTTCTTTGACCGCTCTTAGTCTCTCTCAGAACTCCTTTGATAGTTTCGAAGGTTATCCCCACCATAACTCTTCAGTACTAGTCTACTTGTTTTTGAATTCAAACGCCTTTGGAGGATTTTTTCCAAACATTCCACCAACCGTGAAGTACATACTTGCATCAGACAATTACTTCACAGGAGAGATGCCTCTTTCCTTGTGCAATCCAAGGAACCTATTATTCCTTGATATTTCGAACAACAGTTTAACTGGTTCGGTTCCAGGATGCTTGAGTGGATCTATCACAGTGTTGAATCTCCATCACAACAACCTTAGAAGCCTTCCCGACACATTCTCTAACAGCTCACTGAAGATGCTTGACGTCAGCCACAACCAAATAAGTGGGAAGCTTCCAAGGTCACTTGAACATTGCAAAAGTCTAGAGTTTGTAAACGTGGAGAGGAATCAAATCAATGACACGTTCCCTTTCTGGTTGAAGTCTTTGCCAAATCTGCAAGTAGTTATCCTACGATCAAACAGATTCTACGGCCCTATATCTTCTCCTCAATACCACTTGACGTTTTCGAAACTGCTGATACTTGACATATCGAGTAACATGTTTGACGGGAGCCTCCCACCTAATTACTTTGTGAATTGGAGTGCAGCCATTAGTGGTAGGCTTAGAAATAATGGCCCGCGACCGAAATACATCGGAGATTCTTACTCTCTTGGGTTTCATCCTTTCATGTCACTGAACTACAAAGGAATAACCGGGGCGATGGTTAAGATCCTAAACAGCTATGCAGCCGTTGATTTCTCTGGAAACAGATTTGAAGGACAGATTCCAGAATCCATAGGTCTTTTGACGTCGCTGATTACACTCAACTTAGCCAACAACGGTTTCACCGGTCATATTCCATCGTCTCTGGCCAATCTCTCAGATCTCGAGTC